GAGATGCCAGTTCATGACAGAGTATGGGTATAAATTATGGGGAGGGGGGGTTTGCAACCCCCCAATAATCAAAACCAGCCAATACAACCTCCTGGACCCCCTTAAGTGGGTGGAGACCTCAACCCCCAATACTCAACCGGAAGTTATGCCCTTGTGACAGGGCATATTTAAATTACATGTACGATTAATACTAATATTGCTTTATATAACAGCATCTTTCCCTCTCTGTGTTTATACAGCTGTGTTTGTAGAAGGGCAATCAACATACCTTACTCTCTCTTCTTTGATGATTAAAGGTCAGTTTTCCATGGATGAGAAACCCCAAATTCTGGGCAGCGATCATTATATCACATTAACCTGGCCAGTAACCCTAAATTAAATACATCAACATCTCCGACCGGGATAAAAGGCCAAGGCTTAAATAAACAGCGCCCGGAGCGATAGTCTCCCTCTGTTTGGCCCAGGATCAGCTCCCAGCGGTAAATCAGCACGAGGTCCAAACTTGTGTCAAAGTTCTGGCAGGTCCTTTTGCTGAAGGTCCTCTTGGCCCCCAGCCTTGGAGCAGATCTAGGGAGATCTCTGAGGAGGGGTGGGCCACGAGGGAGTCTCCTCGGCATGGGTTCTCCAGTCTGAAGAACGTCTCTTCCAAGGGCGGGGGGAGGGGGGGGCTCCCAGCTGTTTGCTTCCAGGGAAACTGAATCTCCAGATGTTTAGCAGAGGTAACATGAAGGGGTTCGTCAAGTCTGGGGTCCTGTGAACTGCTTTGATTATTAAACATGTATCTATGGAAGGCATCTGTTTGCATCATCACATGATCGTGATTTTCTGACGTCACACGTACGGCACCTTTCAAGGCCAATCAGGTTTTAAGATTCCTCCGCATGCTGCTTTGCCACGTAATACATCGATTAGAGAAATATTCGAAAAGGACGCAGAGCTCATATGCAAGGCCAGTGTCGTGTTGAGATACAAAGGGCAACTGTGACCAGAGCGGAAGGCGAGGGAAGACACACACTGTGGTGGTGAAGAGCAGCTTTACAGAGCGCAAACTGCTTTAGAAACCCTCCCACGAAGAAGCATATGGCCGCCTAAGTGCCTGTCAGAAAGACACAGACGAGTCTGCTTCGAGGATGACATTTCCTGTTTTTAAGGGGGGGGGGGGTGTTGGTCCCCCAGGGGGAACTACGTGAAAGATCATGCTGCATAGTTTGTTTAACGACCGTGTTGCAAGACTTGTGTGGTCTGCCCTTCCTGCGAAATAAAAAGAGAAATGATTTAAATGCGAAATTTCTCAGGCTTGATCTTTACGGCTACAATCGGAGAACCCCCCCCAAGCAGAAAGAACAGCAATAAAAAAAAGGAATAAAATAGCTATAGATTCCATTGAACTATAGCATCCTGTCCTGGGTGGCTCCTGGCCCCCCACAACCCTGACCAGAGTAAGATGTTAGTAGTGGATGGATGGATGGATGGATGGATGGACGGACAACAAATGTCTTTAGTGTCTTAGTGTTTTACTAAGGAAAAGCAGTGCCTGTGTGAGACCATTGTTTTGACTTATATTAATTAGATTTTCATTTTTATTACATCCTGGGAAGCATCTGTAAGGAACTGTTTTTTGGCCAGATTTACAATCAAAGGAATGAATGATTTACAGGCCAACCTCACCCTGCTTGCTGGAAACAAAGACTGATATTCAGCGAGCTTTTAAACACGCCAGCGTTCAGCTCTGAAATCCATTTCAACATCATAAAAGGTCCATTTCATTTCAGAAAGGACAGCACTGTGTGGTAATATACACTCCACTATAGCTCAGTATTCATCACATCCCTGATGGATGTAGGAAAGTGCTTAACCACAAATATTTACTACAAATATTGTTCATTAGTTTGCTCGAAATTGTGTGAATTTTTGTTGCCGTGATTAAATTCCTTCTGGGATCTGAACCAACCACCATTCAGTCACATGACCACCGTAGCACCTTCTGCTGTTACTGTATATTGTTTGCTCAAATTGAAAGAAGAGAATTAGTTCCCTTTTTGGTTGCAAACAATTATATTCCTGTTGCTTCTGAATGTGGTTGGCCATGAGCTACAGTATGAAAGTTCCACTCTCTGGTGGAGGAGTGCATCATAACCACTTTATGTGTCATCTGTCCCACCCGATGAACTACATAAAAGGACAAAGGCTTCCTCAGAATGGAAAATAAACAGGGAGACAGTAGCTTAGTATTGTCGCTTTCCAGAAACAGAGAAAAAGGAGGGGAAAGGCTGAGAGACTTATGGAGAATCAATGTAGAAACTCGGATGCCTGATTAGCTGGCCTGTACGCAAACAAGTGGCCTCTTTGATGTTGGATTGGCTGGACTAGATGTGATTCTTTGACCTCCGATTGGCTCTGGTTGCAGTCAATTTTATACTTTGAAGTCTGATAGGTTGATAGACTAGGAAAGACTGACTCAAGATCAAAAGTCATTAGCCAAGATTCTCCGGATTCCCCTAAGGAGGTCACGGCAGCGTGGGATTTCTGAAAACACCACTCTTCAGGGCTTGCGTGACAAACTGCCCTTTGTCAAAATGTGAATGACAGACAAATAATGAGGGGAAGCAGGAAGGGGAGGCAGGATCACTCTAAGCTTATTTGTTCACACCTCTATTAAACGTTGGTCTTATTAATACAGGTGTCAAAGGGGTGGGGGGTGTTGCTAGGAGACAAACCGAAAAACAGTCATTCAGTTTTTTGTTACCTTCAGCTGAACCACGGATGCTGAAAGTATTTAGTATTTTTAAAGCGTTGCACGAAATATAAGCAGACGATTATGATTTGGTTGGTGCGTGGCTTGAAAGGGGTGAGGGACAGACAGAAGACGTGGATTAGGGAGATTTTAGTAAGAAGCCGACATAGCACATCTGTCTTGTCGCAACCTCCATGACAAATACACCAATTGAGTCTTTGCGCTGTGCAGTCCTTGAAATCCTCAAACATTTTGTTTAAAAAGCGTAACTGGCCTCATTTATTTTAAGTCCATGTTTCCGGTGATGTAGTGTCTTCCTGTTATGCAATTTCTTTCATTTCCAGAAAATTCAGCCCTGTAGCTACCGTTGTGTGTGAGAGAGTCGCTTCTCACAAGAGGTGAGATATATTTCCAGATCTCCTGCACGTATGTTTACTCTGAATGGCTTGTCTATAACTATCCAACTGGAAAAGATACAAAGGTTTTACTGTACTGTGCAGTGATTTAATCAGGGTTTCCCGCATTTGGCGTCAGTTCCTGCTGTTGCATGAGTCTCTTACCAGGTGGAGATATCATCTGGCACCATAGAAGCGAAGCCTGTCTGAAGAAGATGGATCGCTTTTTAAACAGAAATCAAAACCACTTGTGCCCCAGTGGTTGTCGAGGAAACGGCACAGAGCAGCAGTGTCAATAACAGGGTGATAAAGGGTAATACACCAACGTGTGTCCTGAACGTCAGGCTCCTGAGCCTGCTCACTGAAGTAAAGCAGCTCTGAACCTCAAAAATCAAATCAAGCAGTTATCTATTGCCACCCGGTGAGCGATTCGGGATAGTACGTTTGGTAGTGTAATTATTTGTCAAATTTCATTTATTTAAAAAAAAAAACAAACTATAAGCTGAATCAATATTCTGGAAATAAAATTGCTTTGTGTCTTGAGTTCTGTTTCAATAAAAGAAATGAAAAAAGCCACTAAAACTGGATGTAATGGTAACATTTTCCCCTTAAACAGAATATAGTGTAGAATAATGGAAAATGATATTCAATACCTCTGTTCCCTTACTGTACCTATAATTATTGTTAGTATATTGTAGAGCTTGCACTGTCCACTTTTAATTTTATTCCTTTATTCTTGGATTATTCCTTATTCCTTTGCTCTTATATGTTGTCTGTGAATGTAAGCACCAACACTGCCAAAACAAATTCGCAGTATATGCAGTTGTGCCAGGCCAATAAAGTGAATTCTGATGGTGATGAGTGAATGATTAATGACAAATGGGTAGTAATGTAGCCTCACACCTCCAGGATGGTTGGGGTGGACAATCATCCCCAGCTCGGTGAGTGTGTAGACTTCATTCTGCTACACAAGGCAGTTTGGATGCGTCGATGTGTTGGAGTTCACAGTGTGTGTCCTGTGATGGACTGACACCCTAACCAGAAGGAGCCCAGTCTTGTGCCATGTGCTACCCGTGAATGACCTGCAGGACAGGAAGTTACTGAAGATCTAAGGAAATCCATAAATCTATTATTAATGCCTGAATGATTCATTTGTCTGTTACAGGGTTAATAGAAGCTAAGGAGGACAATTGCTTTAATGTCAATTTTTTCTTTGCCACAAGCAAGACGGTGCCCCAGGATAACGGGTGGGCAGAAACAGGAACAAGGTGTTAAAAAAACAATGCAAGAGCTCCACAAGAAACCGGTCTGCATGGCTGATTTATGACATGCCTTAAGGTGAGCATCACATGACTTACGTGAAAGCCGGGAGATGAACCATTCTGATGGAAACCCAACTAGCGGAAACAAGTTTCTCTAACGGCAGGCTACGTGTACATTTCCTGTACTGAGGTAATGCTCAGAAAAAAGTGTTTTTGGGCCAGGAAAAAAAAGTAATAATACTGCGAAAGGATGAGAAAAAACAGTGAATCTGTGGATGGTACAGGAAATCAAGAATATAAACACGGGCTGTCTTACAGCTGTGAAAAGCTATTCATTTCTTGTTTCAGGATAATTTAATACATATTCAAAGATCTATAGCTCACATGAAAGGGCACAGAAATCTATAATTTAATCTGATTTATGAGCGTATATATCAACCTAATCTCCTCAGATCAGTGTCACCCACCAGGTGGCGACAGAGGGGAGCATGTGGGTACATACCTGGGGGTTTGACCAAACAATCCAAGCCTACAGGTAGACGTTTATTAAACCAGAGGTGTGCGGGGTGGCGGCATAAGCAGGGCAATAAAAAACAATGGAATCAGACAAAACGCTGAAGGAATCCCCATTTATTCTGTGTAAGTAAATCTGCCACCTTAAACCCCTAAACGGACACTCGAGTTAATTACGGAGCCCTTAACACTTGACCTTGAGAGTTTTGAAAGGCACCCACAAACAAAATGTATTATAATGATTATTATTAACACGCAGAAAGATTCACAAGACATGATTCAATATGGTAGCCCTGACAACCACAGTGGTGTTACAATGTATAGGGCATCCAATGAGAATCACGGAAAATTGGCGGATGAGATTGTCTTGCGTGTTTTCGCAGGTTTAGACAGCAAGACCTAAAAATGTCAAGTGTCTTTCAGAGTATGAGCACACACATCTCCAGGGTCACAGCTTATGTGTAATAAAGCAAAACACAGTAGATTAACATTAGCAACTGCATGACAAATAATATCTAGTTGTGTACATAATTTTAAGCAACCTAACATCCATGAATAATGTTCACAAGTTTTCATATGGGGTAATACATTTTAAATGTTCCAGGGGAAAATTGCTCAGTGTTAGATGTAGAAAAACACAGGTTTACCAAATCTTTGAGCCCTGGGTGAAGTGATATCCTATCACAGGGGTGTCAAACTCCAGTCCTGGAGGGCCAAAGCCCTGCACATTTTTGGGTTTCCCCTCATTTAACACACCTGATTCACCTCCTTGTGCTAATTACAACACTGTTCTTGAGCTGAATCATTTGTGGTAGAATAGGAAAGAACTAAGCTAAACAGGGCTCCGGCCCCCCAGGACTGGAGTTTGACACCCCTGTCCTATCATAAGCTTACAGATATGCCACATTGTTACATATCAATGGGCTGTTTATACTACCTGCTAGCAAACACACACCATTATTAGCCTAGAACTTATCGCACACACATCGGCGCAGATCAGACTTTTGAGTCCTTTAAAAAGAAATAATTTTGAATAGAGAATCAACTCTAATTTTATACTTGCTGGGAAGAACAGAAGAGTGCAGAGAAATGCAATTTGTTTGGGAGGCAAGTTTAAACACCACTGAGCTGACCAGGGTTCATCTGGAAATCACTGTAAGTATCTTGACTACTCTTTCCTTGGGGAATGTAGTCGATACTAAAGGAGACTCATTCAACACTGTTTTCCATGCAGTGAAATGGACATGACCAAGAATAAGCAACTGAAAGGTAGGAGATGGTCATTAAGCGAAGTTAACAGTATCAAACTCGCAATCGGTACAAATGCTGCCACTCGACACCCATAACAGAGCACACAGGAAACAGTACTTCTGAAATAACGTCTCAATGGATGTTAACGTTGTTGTCTTTGGTTATGCTCCCTCTGTTGTTTTTCTGGATGTTGCTTGCATGTGAAGGGAATGGAGAGGCGATCAAAAGGGCAGTCGATGCCTCAATGGTTGGAGGGTTGAGGGAAGGGTACAAAACTACAGAAGTGAGCCTTTGTGAAATGGCTATTTGTCTCCGAAGGAACAGGCCAATCAGCTGGATGAGTTGCTCCTGCCACAGAATCGGTGCACAGTGTGGGATCCCTGGAACCACAAACGCATACAGAAAGCTAAGGCCAGCGAGGAGGTTCACCAATGTCAGAGTTTCTTCTACTCTACTGTTGCTCTCCATTATCCAAACAAAGCTTATTCTGCGGGGCTGAGGGCAAAGAAGGGTTTGGAAAATCCATTCCTGTCAGTGATTATGCAGAAAGAATATGAAGAATTAAGGTTAGGGTAGGGTTCACAATAATGAAGGGTTAGGGTTAGGGTTAGGGTTAGGGTTATGGTTATGGTTAGAACTAGGGTTAGGGTTGAAAATAAGGAAGGGTGAGAGTTAGGGTTAGGGCTGAACGAGGCTTAACATTAGAGCTAAGGTTAGGTGAGGGGAACATTTCTTCTTCTGCAGCTCCCCAAAATTTGGAGGTCCCCAGGGGAAGAAAGATGCATTGTTCTGGTTAAGGTTGGAATCAGGGATAGGGTTTGAGCTAGGGGTAGGGTTAGGGTTAGGTTTAAGATTAGGGTATAAAACTCACGTTGTTTTGTGCTCGCTTTGTTTCTCGCTTATCACTATCAGATCTTTTGTGTTCAAAATGTATGGATACCCCAACAGGTCTTTTGTATTCAAAACCTTTTGTGAGATCTCGCAGTGCTTTTCCATTACCATTAATAACTGCATTATCTGTAATAATAATAACTGGTTACATCTTTGCTTAGCAGTAACCCTAGCATTAACCTTAACCCTAGCATTTCCCCATCAATAATACTAATATCAACCATAACCATTTATCTAAGACTTATTCTGATCATAACTCTAATGTCAACCCTAAATATGGCTCTACCACTAACCTTAATAACCCATGATTACATCAATTTCGGAAGAAGAAACTGTGGAAGTGTGATTTGGATATGCATGCAGTACTTTCTACATGCTGCAGATGGCATTATAACACTACATTCTATAAGGAACCTTATATTCATTCATTTGTTTGTTATTTATTTGTTTTTTTGCTTGCCGAGGGTGTACACAAGTTTGTGAAGCTGATGAAGTGCTCAAAAGAGAGAGAGAGAGGCAGGCAGGCCAGACATCACACCAACAATTGACTTACTTAGTACCACTGAGCAGGCAGGAAAGACTACTTCTTCTTCCCTCCTAATGACATGTTCTCGGTTTTTTTCTTCTGTGCCTCGTAGAATAATAGACACACCTTTACGTTAGTGGGCCAGTCAACCAAGACCTTCTGTTCAACTACAGTGCTGCCACAGGCAGAGAAGAGTCGCAAGGCTGAAGCTGTGATGCAGCTATAAGCAGGGGCGGATTAACGCACAGGCTAGATATGGCTTAAGCCTAGGGGCCCCACGTGTGCCAGCCTGCAAGGGGGCCCCCATTGGCGCGGAGGGGGGCGGGGTTGGGGGGCCCACAGACTACTGTAGCCTAGGGGCCTCTGTGCACCTTAATCCGCCCCTGGCTATAAGGTTATGATGGAGGGAACAATGGAAGGAAAGCTCTTCACTACAGGCTGCTCCACACTGCCGACCATGTGGACAGTTTGGAGGGCTTCAGGCAGACCACAGGGCTGCGCATGCATCGGTTGATGGGGAGGAGAACCGGGGAAGGCGGAGCTACCTCAGTCATGGCATCATCGATCTGCTTCAGCTCCTCGTAGTGATCGCGAGAGTCCCGCAGCGGCTGAACCATGATCTCTTCGATCTGTGGGAATAGCTGAAAGACAGAGAGATAGGCGTTTGTTTACAAGCTTTGGTGATATCGTTGCTGTAATTCCTTACATCACTGTCTGTTCTTCGTTGAATGTTGCTGATATGATGCCACACTCACCTTCATGACCGTCTCGAACATGGGGATGAGGACAAATTTTATGAAGCCGATCTGTGCCGTCGGCTTGGTCACCTTGTCCCGATCCATAAAGGGAGCAACGGGGAGCCCTTCAGACTTCTCTCTGTCACTCTGGACCATGCATTGCCCAGACAGCAAGGAGATTGTTATCATGAAAATTTCGGTCATTCTCCTCTAAAGAAAATGTGACTGAAAATTTTTGAAAATGCTCATTACAACAATGAATATAGCACACACAACGTTTTGGTAACCTGAATAAAGTACTCTTCCAGTAGACAATCCACCCAGGGCTCAGCCACTTCAGTGGGCCTGACCTCGTTGGAAATATCACAGCATTTGATAAGAACCATCTTCAGCTGCTCACACGGACACACAGACGAACACCCACAGAAGAAAGAGCAGCCTTAGCACTGAGAACCACAGCACCACCATAATGTGTCCTGCAGACTTATCCACCGATTTTCTGTGGATTGTGTCCTTGGACTCAAATGTTGAGTGGCACACATACACATCTGATGTGCTCCTCATTGGCGAAATCAAAGTTGTCCACCTTCTGCTTGAAAGACTCCAGTATCTCCCCATGTCGGGCCATATCTGTGGCTAGTATGAGTGTGATAATAGCCTGCAAAGAGAATGCAAATTAATCCAGACCTAAGAAATTAAGTTCAAATTAATCCAGACCTAAGAAACTAAGCTCAAAATAATCCAGACCTAAGAAATTAAGATCAAATAAATCCAGACCTAAGAAACTAAGCTCTGAAGCACCACTTTATGAAAGGTATAAAGACTTTATAAAAGGTATAAAGAGGAGTGTGCATCAAGGATTTTTCATCTATTATCTAGTGTGGTATTAGAGCAGGGGAGGGCAATCTTATCCAGAAAGGGCTGTTGGGTATGTGGGTATTCACTCCAAATCCCTAATTAGATTACTAATTAGAGGGCTTATTGGCTGAAAAATCCTCACACCTGGGTTTGAACAGCTGACCTAAAGGTGATCCCAAAAACCTGCATACACACCGGCCCTTTGTGGATAAGATTGCCCATCCCTATACTAGTTGGTATCTAGAAACCTTGTATGCCTGAAGAGTACTACAGTTTTATTGCCCTGTTAAGCTTTGAGTAATATGATGATAATATTAAGTCTACCACCAACTGAAAATCAGCATCATTCCAACATACTTGTCGGATCTGCTTGAAGGCCTCAGGTTCTACGTTGCCAAAAATGTTGCACTCGGGCAAGGAGAGGATCTGGAAGGCCACAGCGCAGTGGTGGTTCTCCAGCGGGGAGATATCATTGTAGCGCACTGCAAGCTCCGTGCGGGCATTGATCTGGTACCTGGAATGATATGTCACACTTTGCTTTATCCTGGCTTTGATTGCTCTTGGGCTGATCCGTGGTGATAACACGTACCGTATCTGGCTGGTCGACTTACGTGTTATTGTAGCCCGGATGGTCCAGGTCGTGACAGACAGCGGCGGTCATGAGGATGCCCATGTCACCCAGGGTGAGTCTCTCCTGAGGCAGGAAAACACACAGACCCATGTGTTACTCCACTTCCAGGTTCCTGGTTCATCTACTGTATGACCACCGGTACCACCTGGACTCTACATAAATGGCTCGGCGTTGGCCATCTTGTGGTTAGGGACATGGCCTCACCTGGAGGTTGCACAGGTGGATCATGCCATACATCATCTGGCTCACGCAGAAGCAGTGGCGGAAGTTGTGGAAGGGGTTGCTGCGGTAATTCTCCTGAATGGCCAGCTGCAGCAGGGCACAAAGGAAGGCTAGCTTACTCACACGCAATCAACCAGACCCTGCAGAGAACGGCTGTTTGTTCAATTTTGACACAGTCCAAAAAAAAAAAAGTGAAGTATGACTTTTACCAGCCAGCGTTTGAGCGTAATGGGGTTAATGTTGAACTCCTTCACCAATCCCAGGTCATGGTACATGTACTCCAGGCAGCTCAGCATCTGAACTGGCCGCAACGAGACAGTGGTCAGCCCAGAGTGTAAGCACTATAAACAATATTACCGCGGTTGGCTTAGACTCCCAACTATATGCTGTAATGCTTGTGGTCAACTCAGATTGCAAGGACCATAACATCATGATCGGCATCTACACCATAGATTATGGTCAGCTGAAGATGTAAGTAACTTCAAACAATAAGATTGTGGCCAACTTAACATATCAAATCCATAAAGGGCCTGTGGTTGGAATATCACCTAAAACCAAAGGGTGCTACTATAAAACTGTGGTGGCTGCAGGCTCTGAACGTTGCACAACAATTCCAGGGACAATTGAGCAAGTAGGCATGGAAAAACTGTAGATTAAGTTGTTTTTTACACCCCCAGTGTTGCTTGGGACCTGCCTCATTGTGCTCCCAGTGCCAGACATCAAACGTGGGTTTCTTCAGGGCCTCGATGGTCTCCTGGGACAGCGTGTACTATGGGATTCCAGCAGAAAGAGGGAGGTTCAGTAATAGTTCCAAAGACCTCGAGTAGTTCCACAACAGGCCCTTGAGCTCATCAAAACATGCATGGAGTGAAGGTTGAATGTCCATGAAGAACCTTTGGATAGCTTGGGACATCACGCCTTGGGGACAGCTTCTTCCCGTCATCTGAGAAGTTGTATTTGCATGGGCAGTTCATCCTGGAGTGAACAAAATTGCCTGATAAAATACATTTTCATAAGATAAAAATCACACTCATATATGAGATACATTTTATCACTTTTTCCGTGCAAAAAATGTTGACTCTAGGTGTAACTGCAATAACAAAAGAATTTGATAATACTTTTTTGGATTGAAAAGTGAAAAATTCATCCTGCAAGAAATGTTTATTGAAGTACCCAAAGAGTAAAAATTTTTTTTAGCTCCATCCAGTGTTGACCAGTGGGACAACTTTGCACCATGTACATTAGATAAGGAGCATTTCCTTTGGTTGCTGAATACCAAAGATGAACGCAACCATAAGTCTTCGTTTTGACTTAAAATAAGTATGAACTATAGTTTACCCAAGTCTAAAGGTAACATCACCAAAAACTCTACCTACTCTACGAACCTCCCTCCACCTCTGGAGGTCATCTCGTCACGAAGTCTCTTGAGGTCATTCTTGCACTTCTCGATCTCCACTACCTTCAGTCCCTCCACTGAAACAACCAACGGAAAATGCTCTGTGGGTTTAAAACATTTTAATCAAGTTCACAATTTTTTTCACCTGTTATAAATGAAGACGCTTCCTTGAAAGTTGACACTGGGAATTACAAGTATTGCTTTTGAAATTGCCAAAAAACTGCAAGTAATTTGACCCATGGAGTTCAGAGAAGGTTGGCTTTAGATATGAGACAAGTATATTCTTCTGCTTTTACAGAGAGGAAAAAGAACAGAAGGCCTTGGACCTACACTCCACCCTCTTCTCCAGCATGGCCAGTCGATTGGTGACCTCTGTTTTCAGCTCGTTGATCCGAAAAGCCCTGGATGGAAAAGGAGATCCGTGTGCATGTGGCTCTGATGCCTACAGCAGCACTGAAACTTGTCTAATGAACCAGCAATGCCATAAGAAGCGAGAGAATGAAGTGGTACAGGGCAGAGAGGAGTGACCACAGAGAGGAACACAAACACATCAACAAGGTACCTGCTGAACTGCTCTGCCACCTGAGAGAGGACGTTCTGGAACACGTCTTCCTTCTCTGTACAAGAGACACAAAGGTGATTCATGGCACCCAGTCATTACCTAACACAATGAGTTAAGTGACCCTCCATTGACCAAATGATAATAAATACAGATGGTCCTCTACTTACGAATGAGTTACGTTCCGAACGGCCATTTGTAACTTGAAATGTTCGTAAGTCGTTAAAAAACATCATTTTAAGGGTATATGCAAGTACAAAGAACTAGGATGCTGGGAGTACGCACGCTACGCTGCTGTGCGACAAGAGTAGCAGCCAGAAGTCGTAGGCTTGGCGGAATTCGCGTGCAGAAAAAAAATGATGTTTCGGACAGGAAACGAGAGCCCAACGAACGCACTTTGGACTTACAGTCCTCCTCGTTCGTATGTCTGAAACTTCGTAAGTTAAAAGATTGTAAGTAGAGGAGCGTCTGTATCTCTTTTAGCACAATTTGGCAACACACTGAAATGCACAGCACATTCTTAAGCCTGTACCTCCCGGTTGGCCAGTAGATAACGGTACGACTTTGTACAAGGAGCTGTGAGATAAGAAGGACGAGAGACAAAATAAAAACAATATTATATCTATACAATATTAACATCATAGGACTAACTTTAAGATTGGCAGAAGTCTATACTATTAATAAGGCATGAATTTAAATGTAAACTTTCCTAGTGTTCTGTAAGTATTTGTCCTAATGGTAACTTATACATAACGATAATGGTTGGATTACTTGGGCGAATTGGTGGGCATGGTAGGATCGATGGAGATCATGGCGCCCCCTGAATCCAGCAGCGTTATGGCCGTGTTCCTATAAACAAGCGGAAAGAGACACAGCTGTTACACACACACCCGGCCAGCACACACATCCAGCAGGCGGACGGCAAAACCAAAGGGCGACCACCTCCTCACACCAGTCTAACATGAGACTCATAAAGACTCGTTGTTTATTTTCCATTTGCATAAGTACAGGTATATTGGAATGCCTCTTTACATATATCCCATCATGCTCTCCTTTCTGAGACATACAGACACATATGTATAGTTGATAGGGAAGCTTTGGGTCCAAGCACAGGGCCAGGCCATTTATCCGGGACCCCTGGAGCATTATGGGGGGTTATGGGCCTGGCTCAAGGGTCCAACAGAGATGTGGCTATTCTGCAGAGGCTGGGGCTTAAACCGGTAACCCTCTGGTCGCAGGCTCTGAGGCCTAACCCATAACCCATAGACCCAGACAGCACCCCCCTTATACAGGTGGGGGTGGAAGAGGCAAATATCAAAAACAGAATGCTATGAGGAACACGCACCCAGCGTGAACTGCTTCTTGAGGAGCTATACAAGAATGATTGTAGTTGCGCAAACACTGTGAAATCTTCTATTCTGCATAGACTTAAAAAGTAGTGGTTTAGTGAGCAGTGGCCCCGTTTATAATCGAGGCTCTGGGTGCTTTATTGAAACGGGCCAGCTGGAAGCACCCTGGCTGTCTCAGGCATTAGATAGGGGGGGGGGGGGGGTCACTACTGACCTGGGGATGTTTGAGGAGGAGCTGAGCAGCTCCCTGATGTCACATGGGCTGCAGTGCCGACTGAAGACCACCTGGAGAGGGCAGCAGCGAGTCAGTATACCACACACACACATACACACACACACACATACACACACACACACACACACACACACACACACACAGATTAGGTATCTATGTCTTTGTGGCAACTCTCCATTCATTTCTATGGGCACAATCCCAACTATGCCAACCTTAACCCCTACCCAGCCCTAGCCTTAGCCACACGTGACCAAACAAAATACAAAAAGTTTTTTGCTTTTTTAACTTTTTGATTGCATTCACAGATTTTTTATAAAATTGAGTCCCCTTTGTGGGGACTGAAAAATGTAAAAATATCAGGATTTTATCATATTATGGGGACATTTGCTCCCCACAATGTCATACATACATAACACCCACCCCCCAAAAAAAACACACACATACACGATTCTCAATAGCCCTACATAAGGCACACCTGACCACCTGACACCCCAGCCTGCTGAGATCTCCTGCAGTTGATGCCATTAAGGACCCCTCATAAAGAGACCATTGAAAGCAGAGTCAGAATGAGGGCCTCACACCTGGGGCTTACACAGGTACAAGTGCGCTGTCACAAAAAGCTGTTCCCCGCACTGCATGGAGGAATACATTCTACATGAAGAACAGTTGTGCCAAACAAACGAAGCATCCGGAATTATCTAGTCATGTCCTGGAACTTTCAGCTGGTAGTATCTTTGCATATATGTCGCTACATCGCACACCTTCACAGCGCCCCGTCTGGGGCAGCCGGAGACGTCGCACAAAACAAAAGCCCCCATAATGGGAGAATGGAACTGACCCTCAAACAATGAGAGCGGAGAGTGGGAGAGCATGCTAGCACCAGGTGTCGATGCAGGCTACTGTGCCAGGAACACCTGCAGGACACAATACCTCTTGTTTTGTTGTTTTCTTTTTATGGATTTGTCAAGGCGGCTATTCTAGTGCACACTCAACTGTCCTGCAGGTTTGGCTCTGCCCACAACTAACCCCTACTCTCACTGAATGGCGATGAGGGCAAATTCACACATGGCACCATGTGCAAAAACACTCCCGTTCCCATTGGTGCTCAAGAAGCTCTTCATGAGAGGAGGCATCTGCTGATGAACCCCGTGTCCCCCCGGAGAATTTCTCTAATTTCTGCACTCCTCAATCCCCAAACGTTAACCTGCGGACCTCAGGACACGGTTCTGCTTCAAACTCAACCCGTTTTGGAATCGCACAGGGGGATGGGTGCTGGGATTTTTCCGCATCTGTAATAGTGATATAGGAGAGCACCATCTGAGAGCACCATCTGATCATCAGCTCCTACCAACACAGATCAGAGGGTAGGGGCGGACTGGCAACTAAAAGTAGCCCGTAAATTTGCCTGCTTGGTTTATTGTGCCACCACGGGGGGTCGGGATTGGGGTTGGTGCTCTGCTTGGTATATTTTGCAGATTGCAATCAACCGGGTGAGCAAATTAGCGATAATTTGGCAGACAGTAACATTCAGAGCATGTTCAACCAGACACTTTCAAAGCATCTACAACGAAGGAATATTCACTGAACGTTAGAAACACGTTACTGCTAAAACAGCGAGAAGGCCCACCTTCTGCACCTTGCCGTCCACGTCCAGGTACACCGTTTTGGGGGCGTAGGAAGACGAGCTGGAGCCCATGGTGCCCGGTGACGTCCGCAGAGGCTGGAAACGAAGACAGCGGAGTGGTGGCAGGCGACCTTCAGCTCTCAGTAAGAATTACAGCCCCTCCACCCCCAACCTCTCAAGCTCAAGTGTCTGTTCTGGGAGTGAGAGACCAAACCCGGACATGAGGTGGAAATGTGGCAGAATGACAGGGTAGTAAGGGCATCACTGTGGCTGCCAAGCAGCCCAGGTCACCCCCCCCTGTGGCACTGTGGACACGGCCTCTCTATAAAACCGCTCCAAAAATACAAAACAGAAAATAAAGTCATGTACACGTCACGAATTTCAAAGCGGAACATTTACCACCAGAAATCAGAAGGACCTATAGTGACAGCTTCATATTTGCATATGTGTATATAGTTCGACTACTTTTTATTTTACATTACTTCCAGACATTAAAAGCTAATTTACTTAATAGCTAGCTATAGCTAATTTACTTCACTTTTATTATACATTTTCATGTGTACATTAAACTTGTCTGTAATTCATTCCATGAAATGATCCACGGTGAAACTCGCATCTTAAGTTAACAACATGTAAAATTAATTCCTTATTACTTTATAATTCTGAGAACCTATTAGCAGGGCACCGAAATGGACTTTTCCCAACAAGACTTTACAGGCTGTTAACCCCAAAGGCAGATTAACAGGCTTTTCTCGCTGCGAGTACAATTTCTTGCCAGGAGGAGGAAAAATATGCTATGTGAAAGCATTTATGGAAATTTCCACGTGGACGTGCATTATACTACTAAAGGTGACAAGTCTCTCTCATTGTGGCAGAGGACTCTGACCTGAGGAAAAGCTACAAAGATAAATTAAATCCAAACGAAGCCTGAATACTCGAGTTATTGTCATACGTGCAAAAGCGCAGGCAGAAGTTCAGTGCTCTTTTTATTGGTCCATAACCACATGACAAGCCTGTTTTTAAAGTGATTTGCACCGGGAAATAATGGAACTTAGTAACTTGTGCTAGCACACTTAATTGGATTGAATTAAGTAATATACAGTATTTAACAAAATTTAAGATGACATAAATTCACTGATTGAACTCAACTAATATACTAATTATATGCATCATAAAATTAATGTCCAGGTCTATAAATGAAATATCATAATAGTGCAATAAAACCCCATGCTGAATAATATTCAGCCCCCTCACCGAAGACGGCAAGATTCTAAGACCAAACACAGAAAATAAACCCCTTTACCGTGACTCACCTTTTGAGCGGTGCTCCTTTCGTCTTGCTGTGAGGATCTCAGCTCGTTTGTGCGTCGTGGGCTGACACAATGAATAGGGAGGGTGGTGGGGAATATTGAGGGATCTTACATTTAATTTCCACTCTCCACTGTTGCCAAGGGACTGTTACTACGGCCACCCCTGTGTCCCCCGTGCCGTCTGTTGCCGAGGATGGATCCTGCTTGATGATAGCAGTCTGAATAACTGCTGATGACAAACCCCCCGTTTCCTCAAGCAAAGGTGAACCACAGAAATGCGTGTGTACGGAGGAGCAAAGACATTACGAGCCCCCCACGTGAAGCCAATAATGCTGGCCGGCTCGTGAAAACGGTGAATGTCAAGGTCTGGGATATATTACAGGTAAGCTGACATCCGGTGCTCGTAGCCAACAGGTTAAGTCTAGAAGAAATGGGCAGCAAATGGGCAGCAAATGGGCAGTGTGGCTCTGACACTCAGGCCAGAAACGACCTCGACACGGAGATGAATCATTTTAACCCAGGTGGTTTGAAGTTTGGCAGATTATGTAAGACTTATATTCAAAAAACACGCCCTCAATGAAAATTAGAAGGGGTCTAAATTAAAAGACCCTCTGTACCCCGCAAATTTTTTGGTCAACAGTTTTGCCGAGTTTTTAATTTAGATGTAAAAGGGCTCGGTACAGAAGCCTGTGGTCAAATCTGGAAACATGCAATCGGAATAAGGAGGTGTTTGGTTTGGTAGCTGAAGATGATTCACTAGTTTAAATAACTAGGCCTATGGATATACCTCTGTTAGCCATGGCAGTGTAATTACTCTAATGCTTTGTGGCTTTAAGGACTTATATTTATGTAACCGGTTCATAGAAAGCGTTTTGGCCACTTGTTAGAAGGTACCGGGAACACTTTGTATAGCATGTGTGCATCTTTGATTTTTTTTATTTTTTAATTTTGCCCTTAATTATACAGACCCGAGATGGTGATGTGAAACGTTAAAATAAAAAAAAGGTGTCGCCGTGAGGAACGGAGGCGAGAAGGAACCTGTCCAGACTGTTCCTGCATCTTACGATCCGCTCTAAGTAATTATGCCCGAAGGAGCGGCGCAGTTTAGGAGCGGCCTGCTTCTGCGACGGCGACGTGCCGCGGCGCAGACAGAGCGGCGTGTCCCTCCGGTGTAATTATCACCCGCTGGAAAGGAGGTGGGGGCCTTCACCAAGTAAGAGAGAATGGGGGGGGGAAGTGGATTTGGGACCAGGTGGCATCATGGATCAAGGAAAGCGGCAGCCCCACCCCCACAAAAAAAAATTAACGGAGATCTCCGTCACCTGTTGGTTGTTATTTGACGCCTTCGGAACCCATCTGAACACAAGTCGGAATTATCAGACATAAGGTGTCACGCTGAGGCTTCAGTAACCATGGAAGCAGAGACTGATCAACACGCAAAAATTGCAATAAGCGCAATTTTAATGATAAAAGGTACAGAACAAGATGAGAGAGGGAGAAAGGCATTAGCAACATGACCATTCCATATTAATGAGAGCAGCTTTGGACCACTGCCGGCCGGACTCTCCTTCCAGCGGGTCTTTAGGTCCCAGAACATCTGAGGATTTCACCATTTCCATTCCCCCCCCCACCCCTTTCTCCACACCCACCCCTTGATGTTGCATTTCATTGTGAGTCTGAGAGATGAAAGTCCCTTATTAACGCAAGTTTGCAATCTACAACCTCGCTGGAAATTTACTAGATGAATACTTGGTCCCTTTTTTTAAAAAAGAAAAAACGATGTTGATTTTTCCTGATGCTGGTTAGTGCTTCCCTTGTATAGGACAGTCTTCAGATTTCTTTAAACCTGGAAGAGATATTGAGGCTTTTAGATTCAAATAAGCTTTACTATAAAGTACCAGTATTTCAGAGCATCCTTTGGAACATGCATTCATAGACTGACTCATTCATTACAATTTCTGTTTGCTAGTACCAGGTCACAATGGGTCTGGAGCCTGTACCACGCAGACGGGGAATGCGGCAGGGGTGATATGCTACACAGACAATCACACTGCAAATTTAGACTCAATAAATCACCTAACCATGTTTCTAGACTGTTTACACATGTCACTATTTATTCAGCTAAAGTCATGATTATCGACAGTCTATCGAATGACACAACACAGAGGATCAGGATGTGCGGGTGTGCAGGGGGAGGATCATTTTGCACGAATGCTTGAAAGTGCCCCTTTTCAAATTATAGCCCCCCCGCAAATTTTACTGGTGGAGCATGGCCCTCAGCCAGTTCACACCCTGCAAAAGAGACACACACACACATGCAGCTCCATATTTGTTGGGACTCATTCATTGTGATGGAGACACCCAAGATGAACCCAATCTCAAAATTCAAAGGAATATAGCCTGGAAAGGTATGAGTTTTCCAGGTTCTGGCACATTTCCGGGGACACATTTTTAAGAAGTGACCCTCATAAACGGTATCAAAAAGCCACGCAAATAGACACAGCGTTCCTGGCAAACGGCAAGTTTCCGGAATAACTGAGGAGAGTAGTGCACCCCAGGGAAACTCAGGAACCCAAAAAGAACACGCAAACTATGCATGCACAGGAGCCAAGTGCATTCGAACCCGGTGCCCAGGAGCTGCAGGGAAAGCCGCCATCCTCACATTGGAACATTGGAAGCAGCATGGCCAAGAAAAAAAAAAAACAACGAAAAAGACTTACATTGAACTCACATCTAGCTCCTTAATGCAGCATGCTCACACTTATGGAATTAGGAAGAGTGAACAGTAAAGGGTTTGTGATTAGTGGATGACCCTGTATTCTCAATCCAAACTTCACTCTCACCAGTAAGCCTGCCTCTTATAGCAGCAACATTATATATACAAGAACCAATGAATTCCTATGTACCTGCCGTTGTATATGTATAAATTATATTTACGTAAAGGTTAAAACACTCCAAGACACGCATTATACGTTTTTAAACGCACAGCTGTTAAGATAAAGAACCACCACATGTCCATTAAACCACTTGTACTACAGTTACTAGATATTTGGCTGACTTAATGACATTATTTTCACGTTTATGAGCCAAAAACACATTTATTAGTATAACTACTTTCTTCAACATTAATGTGATTAAACATTTCTGTTTAGTTTCCGTTACTTTTAAACTGTGTTCGACTTCCTTAAATTTTAAGTTATGCTGGTTAGAATTAAAGATTATAATAGTGCATTGATTTACTACTGGTGCTTTGCTGGCAGTATGTGAGTGGTTATGGAAAATCATTCAACATGCCTCTGACCAATCAGACTTGAGAATTCAACAGTGTCATGGTATAGTTAAAATTAAGATCCTCAACAGACTGGATATTATTATACTGACCAATGAGTGTCTAACATAACCATTCTAACTAGCTAGCTTGGGTTCCGAGGTGAGGATCACTAGTTTTAAGCCACTGATCCTTGCCATTACATTGCAGTCTGTGGGGTTCATCAGGACGTTTAGGAAACTCAAAGCTTCATCCAGAAAACCAACTAAATAACATTGATCATTATGTATATTAAACTAAATGTGTTTCCTATAAATCTGCACAGTCCAGGCCACTCAAGTGGGTCTCAGGTTTAAAGGAGATGGCTGAAGGTCTGGGAATAGCATACAATCAGACCCCCTATTTATAAGAACTGGTCTCCACGACGACCATAAGAACCACTTACTCTGCATTAATGGGAGAGTTAACGGGAAGTTTAGAACCAGGGGAAGTTCGTAGATGTGGATTTGATCATCGAAACTGAGTGATGTGGCACATTTAATTAATTGCTTTGCATTGAAAGTCAATGCCTTTGTAAATATACCAGGTTACACTTCAGCATTTTGTCGCTCATAGCCGTAAGCACTGATTGAAAACAAAGGATTCGGGTATTGCTGTAAGGTCACGTGACTGGGACGAGTGACAGGAGCATTAGAGAACTTGTGCGAGGAAGGGGAAGGATGAAAACAGGATGAGTGATGGATTAAAGTCTTTCTAGTCACTGGTACTATGGAGCGGGTTGCCAGCACAGATACTCACCCCCTCTGCCGAGTGCTGTACCCACACCAGCCTCTCACCTCCTTGATGACAAGTCTGGACAGAAGCTAACAAGGTGCAAAGAGGGAGCAATGTCACCACAGGTACTGACATTCACCGCCAATAATCACAAAGAATCACGCTAAGGTGCTTCTCAATTAAGGGGCACCCTGGCAGGTGAGGGGGGGGGGTACTGAAGAGCCTGCTTTCTTTTTTGGACACCTACCAAACAAGCGAGCAGGTCTGCAGTGATCAACATGTAGAACACGTTTTTCCACCCAGTTGGAGAAATCAAGCCAGCCAGCAGAGGGCCAAGGGCGGCACCTAGTGGGCATTAAGGAAATAAGCAGTTTAGAACTTAAAATTCCATTTGTATATCTACAATAAACACTGGTGAAAAAAGTCTGTAAGATTATGCTTTACCCTAGGAGAAACCTTCATGTGAATAAATTATGTTTAAGGCAATATTAAAAGCTATATTAAAATTAGTTAATTATACAGTATAGCATTTACGATTTTGTGAACTTACAAAAATATATATATAAAAACTACGAGGAACGACACATTTATAATGTTCAGGATGAACATTCTCTACAGACCTATGGACCCCGTCCCATCAATGATGGCGGTAACCGTTGACAACGCCCTGGAGTTTCCTCTGAGGCTCTCGTCAGTACCCTGGAGCGGGGAATTCCACAAAGACATTATATAATCTTACTCAGGCAAAAGCAATTAAGACTCCAAAGAGGAGAATGTGCAAAAAACAAAGTCACACACAGGACTTCCGAAGAATCATCAGAGCACCGCGCAGGTTACGGGAGCGGACGAAACGCTCACCAGGTCGGCAGACACGGCTGTGGTGATGAGGGCGTAGGGTCCATTCACCAGAGCTCCGCATAAGAGCAGCATACCTATGAAAAGACAGGGTCCAAGAGTCACGAGTCAAGGCGGAAAACGCTGTATGGGGAAAGATGCCCTCTGCTGGGGAA